TATAATGTTACAAAAGCTTTTTATTTCATATAAATGCTAATCTTTGGATCTTTCTATTCATCAAAGAATCCTGAAAAAATGTGCTCAACTGTTTTAAATATTGATAATAATAATAAAAAAAAGTTATTGAACATCAAATCAGAATATTAGAATGATTTCTGAAATATCATGTGACACGGAAGACTGAAGTAATGATGCTGAAAATATAGCTTTGATCACAGGAATAGTGTTTAATTTTAATAGTCATTTAAAATAGTAAAAATATTTCACAATATTACTGCTTTTGTTGTATTTTGAAACAAATAAATGCAGGCTTGGTGAGCAGAAGATAATTCTTTAAAAAACATTAAAACTCTTAACGGTTAAAAACTCTTGACTGGTAGTGTATGTCAGCCTATAGTCACTCGATCTGTCACGCAACTCTTGAAAGACACCTGTTTTCTCAGAAAACAGGTGTCTTTCAAGAGTTGCATCCATTAGGAGAAAGGACATAAAATCTCCGGTAGCTCGTCATTTCAATGAAAATTAAAAAGACAAAAACAAACAAAATGACTAAAACTTTAAGTAAAATTTAAATGAGAACGGAAAATCGAAAAAGCCTATTCAAAATAGTAATAAAACCTATAGTATCATCTCAGTGATACTAAAATAACACTGCTGTTCTCACACACAGGAGAAGATAATTCTTTAAAAAACATTTAAAAATCTTACTGTTCAAAACTTTTGACTGGTAATGTATGTAGACTTACGTAAAAAAAAAAAAATTCAAAAGACAAAAACAAACAAAATGACTAAAACTTTAAGTAAAATTTAAATGAGAACGGAAAATCGAAAAAGCCTATTCAAAATAGTAATAAAACCTATAGTATCATCTCAGTGATACTAAAATAACACTGCTGTTCTCACACACAGGAATCACATCCCCATTGGACTCCATGCGAATGCTCGTCATTTCAATGAAAATTAAAAAGACAAAAACAAACAAAATGACTAAAACTTTAAGTAAAATTTAAATGAGAACGGAAAATCGAAAAAGCCTATTCAAAATAGTAATAAAACCTATAGTATCATCTCAGTGATACTAAAATAACACTGCTGTTCTCACACACAGGAATCACATCCCCATTGGACTCCATGCGAATCTCTCAGAGGGTCTTCCAGTCTCTCAGGATCTAAAGGGCTCAACGCTCCTCAACAAGGATGGATTCTTCCATGGCAAGATGGGCTTCCGGGAAGTTTTGCAGAGTGGTCAGCTCAAGACGTCAGAGGTACACAGAAACACACTCATAAAGACCAACCGAAAGTCCCATGGGAGTGCATTCAAACCATGCAGTGTGTTTACATCACAGACTGTATTCATGTTATATAGCAGTGTCAAAGGTTACTCAAAGAACATGAAATGACTTTATTACTCTTATTGCTCATAAGAGGAGTTATGGCATTATGTACTCTAAATTTTAAAGCAGCAGTTAAAATACCTACCACTATGTAAATCCTAAATGGTAGTAAAATCACTTTTATAATTTTTCATAATTTGTATTATTTTTTTTTTTTTTAAGTTCACTAATGTTTGTCAAAATTGTTTTCACTAAAAACAGATGTAAAATACCTTTACATTTCCATCTTTTACTAAAATGAAACATTTAAAGTTTCATTGTTTCTTAATGTTTCTCATTTAATTTTTATTTTTTGAAGTCCACTAATGTTAGTCAAGGGTGTTTGCACCAAAAACAAATGTAATATACTTTTGCATAACCATTTTCCACCTTCTCTCTAACCTTTTTTTATTTAACAGGTTGTTTAATAAAGCTTAGTTTCAGTAGATGGTGTTTTTGGACTGTGGCGGAAGCTTTTCATTGTTTTAGTTAAAAATTAACCTCTTTTATTTCCAAGGATTTAAGTAATCAAGGATAGTACTTTTCATGAAATAACCTCTTTAAACATACAGTAGAGACTTCAGAACCAAGCACAGCCTGGTTTGTATGATTCTGTTATGTTGTCTGCTTAAGTTGTGTTTTCTGTTTAAAAGGTGGAGGCGGAGCTCAGAGCCCAGGTAAATCGATTTTGTGAACTGGTTGGCCACATGCCCTACCATATGGACGGCCACCAGCATGTGCACATTCTGCCAGGTAACAGTGGGTTTGTTTTGAACAATCCTTTTCACTGAGTATCCAACAATTCACGTTTTCAGCATCATTACTCCACATTTCATTGTCACATGATCCTTTAGAAATCATTCAGATATGCTGAAGAAATATTTCTTCTTATTATAAATGTATATATATTATATATTATAATATATATACATATTATATATATTATTATAAGAAAACTCTTGTGCTGCTTAATATTTTTGTGGAAACTGATGCATTTTTGTCCGGGTTTTAGTATTAATAGAAAGCTCAGAAGAACAGCATTTATTTGAAACCAAAATATTTTGTAACATTACAAATGTTTTGTCACTTTTGATCAATAAAGGTCATTAAAAAGCTTTTTATATTTTACCATGTTTTTCAGAGGTGCGAGAGGTGTTTGCACAAGTTCTCTCTGATTTTGGAATCACCTACACACGGGTCCCCATAGAACCCGGACTTAAATTTTGCACCTTTCTCCCGCCGCGTCTGCGGGACTTCAATGCACAGGTTGAAAAAGATGCCCTAGAATCTATCGAGGTCTTTCATCGCCATGGAATTAGGTCTGTGAGGCAACATTTTAAATGATCAGCACGTTTTTTGGTTTTAGGAAATATTTACCTCATTTATAGTATCTTGTATAGTTATTAGGGCAGGTTTGGGTACATTTTAATAGTCTGTTTTGTCCTTCAAATACATTAGGCGCAGTACTGTATATACACAATATGCATGAAATGTTTTTTTCCAATTTGTCCTTTCAAATGAAATCGAATCAGCTACATTCTGGTTGTGCATATCCTCTCAGATGGCCTGACGTATACCTGGGCCTGAGCACCATGGGTAAGAAGATGTCTGTGTCCAGCCTGAAACGCGCTTTGGGCTTCACGCTGGAAGCTTCACTAGATGACCGTGTGACCTCCCCATTGATACAGTCCAATGATGCCGCGACTGACTCCTATTGTCCGGTTACAGCAGAGCTCATGGTGCATCCAGGATATCCAAGTCAACCTCACCAGGGCGGATGTGGAGAAGGACCGGATGACTTCTCACAGTCCGCAGACCGACTACACGAGCTGAATACTTTGAGGGACCCTTTGGTGCTTAACTACTACAGGCAACAGGGGATCCACCTCTGTGCCTTTAAGGACTTTTAAACACCTAGAGCAGAGGATTTGAGGTATTGCAAACTGAATGTCTTCTGCTTTAAGATCTTGACCCATACCTCAATTAGTCAGAGTACGAGTGCTTGGTTTGGGAAAGACAGAAAAATCGGCATTCAGTTTCAGTGTGCTGCTTCCAAAGCCCATACGAAACAATTTGAAGCTGCTACTTGAAGTAGAGCCAAAACTCTATTATACTAATTATTCAACAGAAACACAAGATACTATTAGATGACCATGTTTTTAAATGGTTCAACAAGACATTTAGTTTAGTTAACTTTTTTAAGCAGCCAGTCATTTCAATTTAGAGAGCTGCGTCCTTATAATAGAAAGGTGCAATTTTATCTGGATTTGTTTCTGAGAATGTTGCCTCATTTGAGCAAGTTTCTCTCAAATCCAGATATTAATATTGCAGAGAACTGTAAAATCTAACAGCAAAGCCATATTTATGACTGTAACAAACTATATGAAGATTTTAAATCAGCTGAACATGTAGCAATTACTTTATATATTGAAAAATCAAAGGTACTTTTGGGTACAATGTTTTTAACGAATGTATTTATATTTTTATGAACCTAAAATAAAAAGTTAATTTAACTCTGGATTTCTTTCTGAAATTTAAAAATAGCTTTGAAACAAGTATTACGATGGTGAAAGTGATTTAGGATTGAAAGTAAAAAAATGAGCACAGCAATTTCGCTGCACTATATTTTGTATGTACTAGTAAACACTATAATGTGCTTAAACCAACCAGTTGCACCATAGGAATACATTTGTACGCCGAGCATCCATCCTATTGAAACATTCATTCAGAACTAGGTCAAAATAGCCTTTATTTGGGGAGTTCAACGTTTTGTCACATATTAGGGTTAACATGTTTATAACCTGTATGTTTCAGGCTATTAATGGCATTTTAGAATAAGCTGTAATTGAAGCAACAGTTTGGGGTTGAAGTAGTAGTCCTCATAAATATATAGTTTACTAAAGCTAATATATTCAGGTTAAACGATCATTAAATGCTCGAGTTCAGATTTGATTTATCACACAAATCCATAATGCCGTTTTAAACTGGGGAAACCTATTGGATTGGTTGATTTTGATATGAAAGCCCTAAGCAGATCATAAGTGAATTTAGCCAATGTTTGAGTGTAACATTGCTTGTTCTTCCTTTTTTATTTTGGTATACAAATGTGGAACGTTTTTGAAGTCTGATGCTGCACGAAAATACGTTTTCAACAAGGCATTCTGCGAGAGACTTCACCCAAATGCATAAGCAAATATTACTGAAATATCTTGAACTAGAAAAAGCCCGAATAACCTCTCTGCATTATAAAGAGTGGCGTAAAAATGGAATACGACAGACTGAATGATATCCTTTAAAGAAACTGTAGAGAATGTTCTAGAAAACTCACGGTCAACTACTGTGTTTATTCGGTGTTGGGAGAAAATGGGAGTAATAATAATTCTCAGTAGCGTACATCTCTGTAAATCTAGGGGCCGTTTCCATGATTAAACCCAAATAATCAATATACAAGAATTTCCTATGAAACATGTTAAAAGAGATGTTTAAAATGAGTGATCGTCATGGAAAATTACGTTCACTCACACAAAGAGCATTGTTTTCATCCTTCCTTTTTTTCATTTGCGAAACAAAAATGTATTTCATAGCAATATCGGCTCCTTTTGTTACGGACTTTACAGCGGTTTTGCCGATTCGAGGCTTGGTAAAGGGCTGAAAGTAGCCTGCCCCTTAGACGTACCGCGCAACCCAACAAGTGCAGTGAAAGTAAAAAGGTTATGTGAAATAATCGGTCGCCGTCGCTGCGTATTCCTCCTTGACGTCTCCTTTTTTGTTTTGCGGAAATCAGAGAGCACAAATGTAAGAAGAGGGAACAACAACATATTAATAATAATGTACATGATAAATTACAATCCATCTTTGTTTTAAATGAAGTGTCACTTCCAAAAGTAGTTTTTGAAAGTTTTGTGTAATAATGCAATGATTCATTTTCTCATTACAAAAGGGTCAAACAGCATTCGTTACTGAAACGCCCTGTACAATTTCCAACTTCTTTGTCTTAAGTTATCCTCTAAGCAAATTTTGATGCTTTCAAAGTTGAGAAAGGAAAAATAAACAACATAGTAGAAAGTTAGTAAGGGCCTCAAGCTAACACCAGAAACTCAGATCGGATGTCCTCGCGGCGTCCTGCTTGAAGACTGAGGCTGCAGCTGCGCTGTACTTCTCCAGCTCGACTAGAGTGACACGTGGAAAGGAGAGGAGAAGGAGGGAAAGTGGGAGGGATAGAGGATATCATTTGGGTGTCGGGAGGAAGGCAGTAGAGCGAGGGGAAGAGGATCAGAGGAGTAGGAGGGGTCTGGGGCTACACACTTGTCTGGTTATTGTTAGTCCACTGGCCGCTTTTCGCCGTGTTTCTTTGTAAACTCATCTGCATTCTTAAAGAATTTTTTACGGTCTTTTGAGTATTCTTCTGCTAGGTCGGCCCTCAGAGGGTGTTCTGGCTGTGGGTCGTTCACCAGGGCAATGAGCGACTGAATTACTGTAGGAAGAAAGGGAAAAGAATGTGCGTTATCATTGGTTACAACAACAAAAAATGTAGTATTAAGTAACTCGATGTGTTTATTCTTATTTCTTACAGTTCTAATAAATTCAGCTTTAAATAATCCCTATAGTTTAGTGAGAGAGAATTATATACTCTTCTTCATCAGTGTAATTTTAGTATCATTGATATACTGTTATAGATTTTAGTTTGTATTTTTTTCTATTTTAATTTTAAAGTTTGTCTTTTTTTGTAGTTTTATTTTTGTATGTCTATATAGTTATTTTTTTTAAAGGTTTATTTTTTATTTTTTTTACATTAAGAGAACTGTCGCATTGGCAACTAGCTGAAATAAAAGTTTTTTTGATTTTATTTTAAGTAGGGCTGCCACTAACGACTATTTTTATTTCGATTAATCTATCGACTGATTTATCGATTAATCTAAACGATTAATTTCCCACAAAAAAATCTAATTATTTTTAAAGAACATTTTATTAAACTTGCAACTTTGCCATTCAGTAGTGTACCATAAAAAAGTATAAATGTAAACA